AAAAGAAGGGTGATTTAGTTTCTCTCTGGTTCCTTTTCTGTGTACGAGCTGCAGGCTAGAAGAAATGTTAACTCTGTGGCTTTTTGGAGTCTGTGTAATATGTTTCTGCAAAGTGCAGAGGAACAGTGAGAGCTCTCTTTACGTTTCCTCGCCATCATGTCTGGGGTTAAAACTTAGCATGACCGAATGTGCTGATATTTATAGAAATGGATTGGATATGTATTTTCATAACACTAAAGTCCATAAGAGTAAGAGCTGTTGAAAAGTTTAGTTAAAAAAATATACAAAAAGTTATTGGTTTGTTTTACAGCCTACAGTTACTAATACATTAGGCGCAGTTATAAATAAGTCTTAGTGAATCAAAATAAAGCAATATTATCTGCTTTCTACTGCGTTTGAAATTCAGTTTTGACATGAAATAATACAATTTTTATGACTAATCTGAGAAAATATGGTTGAAAGTTTTAGACAAAAATAGAAATAATTAATAGAAATGGTTATTTTTGTCAAATTTTTCATATTTCTTATCCCACAGTTGAAAATTGTTCACATAATTTAGGGACTGATTCAATTCAAATTTAGTGAATGTATTTAGACCGATATTGATTAGAGGAAAGTTCAGGGGTGTTTGATTTTGTTTTTATGATGAAGGACTCACATGTTTGGAAATTACTTAGGAAAACCTCAAAATTAAAGCTTAAATCTGCCGCACAAAGTTAAGATTTGAGTATGTAATGTCATTTCAAACTTAAACATTTTCTGGTCATTTCATGACTACTGAATTTTTTGCAACAGTTCAGACTAAATACACAACTGTTGTTTTTTTTAGTTATTTTGACTCCTATAAATCGCTTCAGGATCCCCCACTTGGTGGTCTGTGACCCCAGCTGTAGATCAATATAACACACGTTCACTTTTTCCAATTTAAAATAACCTATTTGTGGAAATTAGAGCTAGAAATGATCCAAATCAAAAACTGAATGATGCACGGAGAGAAACAATGTTCTGCATCTGCACAGACTTGCAGTGTAAAAATGCACACAAGCATTTGTGCATGTGCCCGTGCACAGCATAACAAATATATTCAATAGTGAAATAGTGCATTTTTTGCATCTGCAGTGCTCCCTTCAGAAAACAGATTCCACCCATGAGCATAAAGTCATAAATGAGCTGCTGAGAAATCAAGCAGTCAGCATAGAGCTCCAACTAGTTGCATTTATGTGATAAAATAATGTGTTGACAGGACGCACATTTTCTTGTTTTACCAAGAAAAGTCATTGCTACAAAGTTAACACTCGTTGCCTCGCTTTAAAACTCCCCACTGTATCACTTTTATCTTGGAAGGTTTTTAAGGAGTCAAATAAAAGGGGACGTCACCACAGACGATTGGATTTCCCTCCTTTGGGGTTCTATAAGTGTTTAACGCAGTGATGATTATTTATTTATGTTTAATTGACTTTTATTTAAACTGGAAATCTCATTGAGACAGGTAAAAGTAAAAGAGAGACCTGTAGATGATGCACCGCGGGTCAGCCTGTGGGGTGGTGGAGGGACCAACGGGAGGTTCCTCCTTTCAAACACTGAGCACAGTCTGAGCGTGCTCACTCTTTAGGCCCTGAACTCAAGCCTGATTATAAATCTTTTCATCCCTTCGTGTCTGCAGTGGTTAGTTTACATTGTACATAACAAATGTCTTTATAGAGACTCGTTTTTTTTTTTTTAGCATACAGTGAGATTAGCGTTGTTTAAATCTAATCATGCACGACTACAGCAATAGGCGGGAGCAACCTAGGTGGACAGAAATGATGTGGCAAGGTGTGCGCTTGTTAGGAAACAGAAAAGAAACACAAAAACTCCCAGTGTACTGGCCATCAGTCCCACTCTGGCTGCCCTTCAGCTGTACAGAATTACAGTATTTACATGGAGCTGTAGGTGATAGTGACTACACGTCCCTGAAAACGCATCACATTTAAAAAAAAAATCACATATCAGGCAACCTAACATTCAAGATTGTGGGTTGTAGAGGTGGGAGTGTTTAAATAAATCAACGTTGTTAAATACAGAACTAGAGAAAGCTTGTTTTAGCAGTAGTGGTGAGCACAATGGCAGCCCACCTTGCCACAATGTTCAACCGTAAACACTTTCGTGAAACCAGAAGCCAGCCAAAATGCACTTTACAGGAGATGCAAGTCTACGCACTTGGTCAATTTTATTTGGATGCCATATACAAGATTTGCAGCAAAGCAACTAGATGATCGGTAACATATATCTCAGCTCGTTTACTTCAGCTTAAATACCACTGTTGCTTTGGAGTGACAACGCACAGGCTGTTTCATCATTTTTCAAATTCTGTTTCGATCGTTTATATTTAATGTTTTTTTTTGTTTAATCTGTTTTTCTTTTATTTTTTTCTTTTGATGGTCATATCCGTTGGGTTCTTCACCGTCTGAAGAATGTGGGGTTGCGCAGGCAGGCGGATAGTCACCTGCAACACCCCAGGGGTCCCGCTGAGGTCTCCAGGCTGCTGTCGGTGTCTGAGGCCAGGGTCTGGTCGGTGGACATGGAGGAGATGTCGTTGATGGAGGAGGAGGGAGGGAGGCTCTCGCTGCTGTTCACGGCTGCACCTGTGCTACGGGAATCAACAGCAGCGGAGGGGTTAAAACAGAGAACGGCAAGGATGGGAGCAAAAGATTAATAAATTAAATGCTTAAACGGGAGATTTTGCAAGCACACGCAGAAGGCAGAGTGAGATGAGTTGTTGAGTGAAGATGAATTAATTAGCTGGGATTCAGACGGGAACAATAATGTCAGCAGTAAAGGGACAAAGTTGCAGTTACAGCATATGAAGAAGAGATTTGGGTCCGGTAAGTTCCTCAGGAAACATTAAAGGCTGCAGAGATTCAGCAGTCTGTATAATCACTTAAAGTTCAATCAATATGTTCTTTTCTGTTCAAGACACATTTCTATTGATTTATATTTGTATAAGGGCACCCCTTATTCTTTGTTATACTGGTCCATTGGTTTGTTATTTAAATAATATTTCAATTTTGTGTTATTGATCTTGTTTGGAAGTCAGAAGCAGTCAGCAGTAAATGACCTGAGACCTCGTCAAACATGTCTTCATTTAATTTGCCAGGCTAGCACTTTGTCATTATTGATTATTCAGAAGTGAAGCTGCAGGATCCAACAGTGCTTAAAGGGATAGTTCTGTCGGATGGCTATGAACAAGTAGTATCTTACCTGTCGGAGCTATTTGAATGATTTCAGCTTCGAGAAATAGTTTAATTCTGAGTGGACAGTTTTGTTGCTGTTAATCTGTGCTGCCACTTTAAGAGTACGCAGAGTAGCTGTTTATCGCAGAATTACCATAGCTTTGTGTGTTTTCACATCTATTTCATCTTTTTTTTGTTGAACCCTGAATAATATATGTTTGTTAATAATATAAGTTAGCATAACATGACTGGTTTGCGTGATTAGTTTGAAACATTTTTGTTTAGTATAAATTCACAGTAATAAACTCGATGCTAATCACGTTTGATTTTCTATGATGTTTTCAATGTTAAATTAGCACATGCTAGTTGTTGATCAGCAGCATATGAGCATTAGTTTTTTTTTCCACCTATGTTATTGTAAACGCTTTATTAGACATGAACATATATATATATAAATTAGTGTTTCATAATGTAAAATAAGCCACAGACATTTAAATTTTAACATGAATGAAATGCATCAATAATCATTTTATAATCGCATAGAGAAACTCAAATTGAATTAAATCATGAAGTGCCTAAAAATCCCCATCCAATCAAAGAGCATCTACAGCAGGTAAGGTAATTGTTTGAAACCACATCACAGAACCCCAAACTTGAAAATGTCTGAACTGTTCCTTTAATGTCCACAAACAGGACCTTTGTTCCTGTGGGAGTAAGAAACTGTTACCATTTCTACATCCAAGCTGACTTTGCACTCTATGAGCTTTAAGGAAGGAATTTAAATTCCCAGTCACACTCATGTATGAGTGATTTTATTTATTTATTCATTTCCAGGCCGAAAAAAAATAAAAAATCCAGAGCAGAATGTTTGCAGTAAACAAGCGAAATAGGTGGACTTTAGCAAATTTGTGAAGTTTCTACTTGTTCCTTATGAAGAAACAATGGCACAGTGAGCTTTTCAGTTGATAGAAAGAAGAAAAGAAACCAAGAACGAAGCAGGATCAGCAGCTCGCATTGAATGCAGAAACAACAGTATCTGAAAAATAAACTGCAGCTTGATCTCAGTCTTAAAAATACTAACATGAATGAAGTTAGATTCCATCACATATGAAATATATATAAAACATGAAGCAAACACACATAAAGATTGAGACTTTGTGCTTTCTCTCTGCTTCTCTGCAGTGAATTTCTCCCAGCTCCTGCAGTGCGTCTGAAACGCTCAGCAGCAGCAGACCCTACAGACCAGCTCATCTCCTTAATGGAGTGGACGCAGAGAAGAACAATTAATTGAGGTTGAGGCAGGAGAGAGCAAAATGAGTATTAAAGGAATCGCAAAATTAACAAACGCGCTTAGGTAAAATAAATGAAAAAATATATATTTTGTGCATTACCTCATTCCGTAAAAACCAGGGTGACGCTGTTTGAATTATAAAAACAATACAGTTTAAAGGTTATTGTAAATCAATATTACACTTTCTATAAAAAAATGTAATTTATTCTCACCAGCAGGTGCTGTGGTTCCAAACAATTTAATTATTTTTAATCAGTTTTTATGTGACTTTTTACTGCCACCTAGTGGTAAAAGTTGAGAACATCAGCTGTTCATCAAGGTCTTTATACAATGTCAGCTGCAACTTGCAGACTGATATTCCTGGGAACTGCAGAACCCAAACCTCAAGTTATGACATGTTGCACGCAGAAACACAAACATGCACGGTGCTTGTTACTATATATTCTGTGCAAAAGAAAGCAGCGTTAGCAACATTTTTTATATATACTTTCATCGAACATTGGCACCAAAACATTTTGAACTAAACAACAGTGAACTGGAGATGCAAGCGACAGAGACACATGGTCGACAGCACAATGGTACTCTCTATTTACAAAGGGGATAACTCCAGTAAGGATAAAGTAAATTCACTTACAGAGCGGTTAGGCTTATGCACTGAGAGTACCTGAAGGTGAAGGTTGTCCCTTCACAACGCCATTCTTCGTTCTCTCCTCAAAGTTCATCACTTCTTTATAGATTAATTCTGTCAAGGCAGTCATGGGTGAAAAGTTAGTAAAGCGCACAAAGAGGCCAAAAATATACGTTTTAGAACAGCACATAACAAAGACAGAAAGGATTTTCAATTTATTTTTACAAGAAAGGGAATGTGAATGTAAAGCAACTGATAGATTATTAAAATATCTATTACATTACATAGAACAAGCAGATTATTATAATACTACTAGCTCAATACTTGTTATGACTTCCTGTTATTGTGAGGTTTTTACTGTGTGAATGTTTATGAAGCTCTCACACTATTGTGATCCATTTTTCTTCCATACATTTTTCAGCATCTTTCTTGTTCCACAATTTTTGAGCTGTTTCAACAACTCATGTATCAAAACGTTCAGCTCGTTCAGGAGAAGGGTGCTATGACTTTTGGTATTGGTGTAACTTTAGCTTTTTGAAATATTTTGCCTTTTCTGGCACTTTTTTTCTCATAGGAAATGAATTGAGCTCATTTTACATCCTTCAAATCTTTAGATATGTTTACAACCTTTTACTGCTCCTTTCACATTTTGTTCTGGTTAAACTTCTTTCAGCTTCTTTGTGCAAATTTAAACTTTTTCTCAGCTTATTTCAGCTGTTTTTCAGCTCTTTTGTGCTCCTTTCAGAATATTTCAGCTAACTAAAACATTTTGTAAATCTTCCAATTTTTTTCTGCTAATGTCAGCTTGTTATGTTGCTTTCTGCTTATTTCTGCAAGTTTCAGCTTTTTCTGCTATTTCAGCTACTATTTAGCTGTTTTGTGCTAATTTTAGCTGCTTTTTGGCGAATTCCATATTTTTTGCATTCATTTAAACTTTTTTTCAGTTTAATTAAGCAAAATGTGCTATCTCCATATCCTTCTGGTAATTTAAGCTTCTTTCTGCCTTTTTAGCTAATTTTCAGCAGTTTTTTTTCATACGTAATTTCAGCTTTTTTCAGATAATATTCACTTCTTTTAGCTTTTTCTCCTAGTTTAATTTTTTCTGCTCTTTCAGCTACTATTTAACTATTTTGATGCTAATTTTAGCCTTTTCAGCTAATTCCACTTTCTTTTTAGCTCATTTCATTTCTTTCTGCTTCCTTCTATTAGCTTCTTTTTACCTTTCAGCTACTTTTAGCTATTTTTTTTAGCTATATTCCTGATTTTTGTGCTCATTTCTGCTTAGGTAAACCTAATTCAGCAAAAAAAGTGTTCTTTCTTCTCATTTAGGTCAATTCTTCCATTTTTTCAGCTATATTTCAGCATGTTTTTTTAAGCTAATTTCAGCAGTTTTTCTGTAAGTTCTTCAGCAACAAGCATTCACACTGCATGTTCACAGGAAATGGAATTTCTCTCGTTCTATCTAGATAAACCTTTTTTTTTACCTTTCCACTCATCTATAGAGTGTTCTCGTTCATCCAGCTGCTTGTCGTAGATCTGAGGTGGAGGCTAAAAGGCAAAGAGAAAGCACACTCTATCAGAAACAGTTCAGGTAATCGCAAACACAGTGATACAATAAGACATGTCATGACTATGACAAAATATGTTTAAATTAACTCATACGAACTCATAAGAATGTAGTAAAATGTATTTGTAATTTATTGTAAAAGCAGATGAACATTTCTGAGAGGCAACAGTAAGCCTTTTTTTCTTCTAAAGCACATTTTACTCCTGAAACATGTTTAGCAACAATGAGTTCAAACAACTTTTAATATTTTGTGACAAGCATCGTTTTCTCTCCTCCACACTCACACAGAGCAGTGGTTAGACCGTTCACCTCTCAGTGAGAAAGTCACCAGATCAAATCCCAGCTGGGGACCTTTCTGGGTGGAGTTCTCAGTGTGCACGTATGGTTGTTTCTAGGAATTCCAGTTTTCTCCCAAAGAGCAAAAACATGCGTGTTAGATGAAGCGATAACTCTAAATTGTCCCTAGGTGTGAGTGAGATGTGAATGGTTGTTTGTATGTGACCCTGTGATGGACTTACAACCTGTTTAAGTTACACCACATCTCTCACACAGTGACTGCTAGAGATAGACACCATTTCTCCCATGACCCGGTGAGGAAAAGCGAGTAAAACAAAATAAATCAATAAATGTATTACATTGTATCGTACGGTATCATATCAAATTGTTTAATATTTTAGTGCATTATGTCATATTGTATCATTTTATATCAGTATATATAATTTTAGTGCCTTTTATTGTATCATATTGTATCATGTCTTATTGTATTGTATCATATTGTATCATGTCTTATTGTATTGTATCATGTCTTATTGTATTGTATCATATTGTATCATGTCTTATTGTATTGTATCATACTGTATCATGTCATTGTATTGTTTCATATTGTGTCAAATTATATTATATCCCATTTTATTGTACAGTAGTGTGTTATATTGCAACATTCAGTATTGAATTATGTTGTATCACATCCTACAGTATTTTAAAGGGGTTGCCTTTTAATTGAACTTTGAATTTGTATGTGTTCCACCTTATTTTTTTGTTTTATGTTTTTTATTTTAACATATTATTTTTTGGGCATAAAGTAATACAAAAATGGCTCAGTGTGGTGCATATAATTGTCAGGAACATAGAAAAATGAAGCAATTGTGAATATTTTTAGCAGAGGACCAGCCAAACCCAAATATCTCTTTCCTGGTTTAATGTCCATTTAAGATACAACATATTGAGCATAAAGGTCAGAAGATTTTAAAGATAATTTAGAAGCTTGATAAAAAAGAAGTCATAAGTATATTATTTACTGCTAATCAAATAAAATGTTTATTGATTTTCATAATGAACAAGTCTCACATCAGATCTTTACACTCAAGACTTAAACAGCAGACTGTGAGAACAGTTGTGGCGTGTTGATTTGCTAAGATAGCATTTCATCGACCAGGACACAGATACGTTCTCTGGCATCCCGTCAACCCTTCTTATCAAAAATCATGGCTCAGACTCTAACACCATAATCCTCCCCACTCTGCCACTGCAATCTCTGATGTAACAATCAGGCACCATTACAGGTTGGCGCCAGCTGGACAGATGTTAGGAAAGTGAGCTGCGCTGTTTTCAACATGGATTTATTCAAATATATGTTCATGCTTTGAGGAAGAATTAATGGAATGTTGTTCCAAATGTGTCTAATATTTTCTTCAACTCACGCCCTTTTTTAAAAAAAACATTTTACTTCAGCATCATCCACCAGAAGAAACACCATCAATATGACATGTAAAGATTAAAGCTAACAGTTTAAAGGAACAGTAAGATGTTTCTGTCACAAGAAAATCAAAATCAATGGCAGTCATCCTATTTAAATTTAAAAAATAATAATATTGAGTTTTAATCAGTATGACAGAGAAGGACAGGACTGAGCTGAAGCTCCGCCCACTCACCGCCTCCACCTCAGCTGGGTCGTACCACACGTTGATGTACGGGTGTTGTAACGCCTCATCCACTGATATCCGTTTAGCTGGATCAATGATCAGCATCTTAGACAGCAGGTCTCTGGCCTGACTTGCTGTGGTTTGAAAGACACAAAACAACATCCAGCTGATTACATTAAAAAAAAAGTTATCTTACGCCACTGATGTGAAAGGAAAAACTGAGAAACTGAGGCAGGATGGAGAAAATGCATGGCATGATTTAAAGGGAAAAACTGAAAAAAGCTGATTATTAAAAAATCTGTGTTTGATTACTGGCTTTAAATTAAATTCAATTAATGTGGAGCTCATCACAGTTTAAAATAGAGTTAAATATTTCCATATAGGATAGAAACACTGTTAACTGATGTAATTATACAACTCTTACATGCTTTGACTGACACTTGTTTTTTCTAATTTAGTAAAAACAAATTGCCTCCTCCAACTTGAATCTGTTTTTCTTGGCTAACATTTTGTTATTATTGATGATATAGAATTAAATTACAAAGATTAAAAAGGGCTTAAATAAAAGGTTCACATCTTTAAAGTGGGGTTCTGTGAAAAGGTTATGAACAATAATCATCTTAATTGTTGTAGATTGCTCGCTCTCTCCTTTCCAGTCTGCCTCTCTGGGTGCATTCCCTTTAACTCTGTCGACCCAGCAGAGTGCAACCTGAATACAAAACGGATTCATGGGTACTTGCAAGTCAAGAGCTTCGATGTAGGAACACGGTAATAAAAAAAGTGTTAAAAATACTTTCTTCTTCTTCATTTCCCAGCTGAGAGAGCAGAAGGAGATGAAGCCTAAGATCAACTCTCAGACTGGGAGTTTACTGGATTCATATCCTTTCTGACTCAGCAAAAAAAACTATCTATTTTAAGAGTAAATTTCATTCACAAAATCTACAAACATGGTCAAACTACCAGAGACAGGAGAGAAGGCGACTAACACAAAAACTTTACAACTCACAAACGCTTAAATGTGTTTTTTTTTTTTTTATGCTAACTCGTGGTTTTCAAAAGTCTAAACTTAATATTTTACATTAACGCTGCTTTTAACCATGCAATTTTACTTCCTAACAGTATTAATTTTTTTAACTAAAGTTAAAAGGTAGTCGGAGTAAATGTGCAGCAGAAAAGTGTGGAATGGTTTAGGAATAATTGAACAAATGAACACTTCATAACATGGCTTGTAGTTTCTTACAAAGATTTTATGGAAAAGTCTCACTCAATAACACAAATACAAAATAAGACACAAGCTCCTCCAATATATGTACAGTGCAGGACATAAGATGTCAGCAGCCAAGGAAGAAAAGAAAACGTAGTTAATGTGCCATTTTTGTGAACACCTTTTGATTGGATGGAGTCATTAGTAAGACTTTTTTTTATACTGTATATCTTATAAACACCTAATATTCATTATCATAAACAGCTTTTCAGTGAAAATGAAAATGTGTAATATATAAAAATAATTTTGTATTACAAAGTACTTGTTGGAATATTTCAGGTTTGACACTGGGTTATGCATTGACATTTCACGTCACTCAGTCATGCATAATGTGACAAAACACCTCGTTTCTCTTACAGCTTACATCATTTAATCCAACTTTAGCAATAAATCTGTTTTTTTCCACACATTTGGCTTCAGCACTTGTGTGTTTAACCATAATTTAAAGAAGCAAAGCAGCATTTTATTGCCTTTTCTGGCTTTGTTCTTCAAGGGCATAATTTAGCACTAAACTAAAAAGCACCAAATGTCTAAAGTCGAGTCCCTTCCAGTGCATAAATAAAGGTCTTTTAGGCATATACTGCAAACTGATGAGTTAAATCGTGTGTTTGATGTTTTGCCATGAAGTGACGGTAACTCACCTTTGAGTTTGTTGTGCTCGGAGTCAGCGGGGAAAAGGCAGTCAGGGAAGAGCTTGGGGAAAGTGAGGCCTGCGTACTTTGGTCGGTTCTCCACATAGTTCCTCACTGTGGGCTGGAGCTTCTTCATGAACTCTGGTGATGGTGTGCCCAGCTGCTCGATCACCTTGTTCCACTGGTCGATGTCTGGAGCAGCAGGTCAAGGTCCAGAGAAACACGTCAAGAATGTGAACCTGTGGAGTCCACCACCTTCACAGAAAATCTTCTAATTTTATGTTGAGGTAATATTCATGGGGGGAAATGCCTTTTGGTGTGTAATCCAGAGGCTTGATGTAATAGCGGTAAATTGAACAGACCTGGTGATGAACCTCCATCATGATTTATTTGAGCAAGCAGAGACTTTGCTTGTTTAGAACACATTTCACTTCTTGTCTGACAACCTTTTTTTTTGTCCACACACTTCAAACAGTCCTCTCCCCTCTAAATGTTCTCACACATGGTGCCAGATGAGGCCGTTTGCATCCACAGCCACAAGAGACGCCTCCACTGGTTCATCTTGCTGAAACGTTTCACACTTTCACCACTGTCCTGCCTCCATTAGACATTGGCTATTATCCACAGAACCCCCACCCATCCCATCCGCCAGCACATGACAGTATATTCACTCAGGCACTTTGGGATGTTTTGCTTGTCTGCAGGATTAACACTGTGTCCGGGGATCAGAGGCTTGAAGGATACGGTCACTCCCAGGGAACAGCACTGCTCCTCTAAGCACCTCTCCAATGATGCAGCCGACTGACCACATGTCCACTAGGGTGTCACACACACACAGAAATCCACATGTACACACATATAATGTTATGTTCCATGTTCCAAACTATGTCATATGAATCAAAAGGCTCAACTCTGGGAAAACAAAATGTGATGATTCTGTTCATTTGACTTTGTTTATGCCGGACGCCCTTGCAATTAAAATCCCCTCACCTTCCCAGAATAAATTCTTTACAGACAAAAAGTAAACTATACTGGTCAACAGAGTTGGAAATATATTCATACCTAATGATTATCTGTTATGAATGTGACATAACTATACACATTAATCCTTAAATAACTGTATTTAACAGTCTACTTACAACAAAACCCTCAGCTTTTCAGTCAGCTGTCTGGTTAACATGCAGCCGTGTTAATCCACCATCAAACAACCACTAATCCTGCTGCACACACTGTTTGGGTGGACAGACTGATCATCATTTGCTAAACACTTCAGAAGGTGCAGAGTCCAACCTCAGTAAGCTCAGTCCTTCAGGCCCAAAGGCCTCAAAGTAAATCAAGAACAGCAGCAATAAGGCACTGATCCAACGCTGAGCTATAAGTAAAAGTTGAACCAAATTGTATGTGAACATAGTTCATTGATCTACATGAAGAAGGGATGGAGTGCTAGATTTGAACAGAGGGGAATTTTTCAGTCCATGGTGTTGCTGAGCTCATCGCAGGGTTTTCTAGTTGTGCAGAGCATTAATCTTCCACATGCTGTGTGTTCAGGGCTCTGGAGAGATGAGCGTTCCCACAAACACCTGCACACACCCGTGTTTCTACACGCCTCTAAATCACTTCAAAAATCCCCATTTTAAATGTTATGGATGGTCATTTTTCCTGCTGTCCACAAATTTTCCCACAAAGACTGCCCCAGCATTCGAGCGTGATCGGTGTGTCCCCCCCACACATGATGTCGTCTGCAGGTGTGTGCACTGAAAGTGTAGTAATCAGTGTTGAATGTCAGATCGGGTGTTGAGCGCACTGAAAGGCTGCAGCAAAATAAGAAAACTACTGTATTTTTTGGACTATAAGGTGCGCCGGATTATAAAGCACAATATCAATGAATGGGTCTGTTTTCATACATAAGGTGCACCGGATTATAAGGCGCATTAAGCGAAACAAAACAGTCAGATGAGTCAAACTTTATTCAACTTATTCACAATAACTATATAAAATCAGTTCAAGGTCAGTAAGCACAACCAGAATTAATACATAAGGCGCACCGGATTATAAGGATCACTGTTGATTTTTGAGAAAATTAAAGGGTTTTAAGTGCACCTTACCTCATAGTCCAAAAAATATGGTAATTGGTGTTGGTTAAAGCATCAGCAGCACCATAAGCTGCAAAAGTCCAGCACGCTGTTTCACCTCGTTTTTCTTTTGTTCCTGATATTAAAGTGCCACAGATTGAACGGATCGTCTTTCAACTGACTATGTTGATTTTTTTAAATATCAAGGCTGCTACAACTTATTTAAAAAGGCTTTTTTTTTGTTAGATTTTGGTTTATAAGTAATATCGAAAATAACAGTTTAATACTGGTACATTTAAGTAAATGGTAAATGGACTGTACTTATACAGCGCCTTTCTATCTTATTTCAAGATACTCAAAGCGCTTTACACTACAATCTGTGTCTCATTTACCCATTTATACAGCACTCTACTAGATCTCTACGAAGCTAATTGAACAAATCATTCTAAAGAGACTAATCAGAGCTTTAGATCACATTCATACACCGATGGCACACACATTGGAGACAATAAGGGGTTCAGTGTCTTGCCCAGGGACACTTTGGCGTGTTACTGCTGTGGGATTCGAACCCCCAACTCTTGCATTGGAGGACGACTGCTCTAACCACTCAGCCACAGCTGCCCAGTGTAGCTGATTTTAAGAAATAATAACAGAACCACTGACTGAAAATGTTTACATCAGTGCTCTTAGTAGGATGTATAATAGTCAAATAGTTGAAATATAACAGGACTCAGAACAAATCCTTAAGGAATTGAGTCTGAGTTAGTAAAAAATCAACTGTTATGTCTTATTACAAAGCCTGCTGGTTATACAGTATATGAGATGCTTAAAAGACTACACAGTCCACTTGTGATGATGTCATCAAGGCAACAATTGGTTAAAACGCACAGACTGTAAGCAGGATGAATTTAATATTAAAGAATAATAGTAAAGTGTAAGGTCAGTATAATATTACTGCAAACTTCTTTTGGGGTCTGGCAGTGTTTTGCCCCCCAAAAAGCTTGCTGCTATGAAAGACCCCACCCCCACTACTCACATGAATTGAATTAATAAATTGGTGTTGTGTTAATTTGCTACACATTGTTGTATGTTTATTTTAATTAGCTTAGTATGCTTAAGATTGTCTACACAAGTTTTGAGATGTGCACTCAGTGGGGCAGTGTATTGTGAACGTCAGTAATGTTGGATTCATCTTCAAGCCATAAACAAACACAAATCTTTTCATATTGTCATAGCAAAGTCCTGTATTTTTCCTTTTACCTACAACTGATGAGGTTGTTCGAGAATGAGAGGTGGTTGTTTATGTGTTGAACAAGAATTCTACAACATTTGCTCTTGTGCAAACCCCATATCGTCACACTCTCACCTCTGTGCTTCACTGTATGTGTTGCAGACCTGATCAGGCTCGTACCAAACAAACAGGAACTCATTACTGTTCTCCCAGCTCAACAAAGAATAATGTGCCAATATTATTTAGGTTTCTCCTAATTTAGAAAATTGAAATTTATTTTTTAATTTTTTATTGAAGTCTGTAGAAGCACATGAATCATTCATCATGTTTACCAAATGGTAGAAACTAGTGATAATTCTCGAGTAGTGCTCTTGTCAGAGATAAGAGTTTGTAAGTAGAGCCCTGTCAATGACATCATTACAAGAGGATGGTTATCGAGGATCTGATTAGCAGGACTACAACATGTATTAAGTTTTCTGACTACAGCTTCAAGTGTATCTTTGATTCCTATTCTGATTTCACTTCTTTGGATTTTCTCATCTGTTTTTGAAAAACACACCATTTTCTTTTATTTGTCCTTTTCAGTTCTTTTGGTAATGCTACGCTGCTATGATGATGCAGCTAGACTTATATTATTCCACAACAGATCCTTTTTTCTCATTTGACAAATCCATTCATGTGGTTAGAATAGATCTATACAAAATCATATAGGTTCACATATTTGTTTCAACAATTACTGGGTTTTTTTTTAATTTGTGGTAAATGTTCACTGGTGTTGCCGAAAGTCTCCATGGTTGGATCTAAATTTTAATTATAATCTTTGCAAAGTATTTATTTTGATTGACTATGTAAGAAAATACAATTTAACTTAAGGGTATATTGGAATTGTTTGCACATGTATTCACTTCTGACTATACAACCTAACATTTTTTTTTTATTTAATTTTACATCTCATTACCAAAACTCTTGTTTTTCTTCTGAAACGTGCATGCTGAGTGCTGAGAGGGATCATTTCTTCAGGATGATCACCTCCACACTGCAGGAGCACACAGTAGGTAGCATTTTAAAACAAACAACACATTTTACTGCTGGAATGGTTAAGACAAATCCTTTGCCACAACGCATTAAACTAGATTAAGCTCTTGTTATTTGGGTTATATGAACTATGCTTCTAAAAGAAGTGTTGGGTTAAAAGGACAAAGGTGTTATAAATCCAGTAAACTGGGGAGTGGTTTAGTTCACCTCAGTAGCATACAGCTAACATTAGGCCTGCAAATCTATAAGCATGCACCAATATCAAATTTCTACTATCAGTTCTTTAACTTATCCTTTCCCCTCACTCTTTACTGCAGCCCTCGTTTTCCCATCCCTCCTTTCCTCCTCATCTCTTTTCATCTCTTTGATTCAACTCAGCTCTCCTCAAGTCAGTTTCACCCTGGCACCCTGGATGGCTCTGCAGAGTGGGACTATACTGATTTAGGCCCACAACATCTGATTTGGTCCGATATATCTCCGTGTAGTCTATCCAAAAACTCCTTACTAACATCCACTCATCCATCTTGGGGGGTCCTAAGATGACAAGGAAGTTGCCCACTGAAACAGTCCTTATACCCCGAGGATCCTTTCAAGCAACCTGGAGCACTTCCTGCAGATTTATCATATTGTTCTACAGGAATAGAAGTGACAGATATGTAAAGATTTATGAAAGAGGGTTCACGTGAACATCAATTTTTTATTTTTTAGATTGGAGTTGTTTTAAGATGGTAACAATTCACTTTGGTCTCACTCGCACTCAGATTAGACGTTAGCTCAAATTTAAACTGCATTTCTCAAATGCTGAGGCCGTTCAAAATGTCATCTACAACAGGTAAGATATTTATTGTTCATAAGCTTTGCACAGGACTGAATTTACACTATACTTCTAAGGTAAAACAAATGGTTAAAATACTAAAATATTTAATTTTCTAGATATCCATCGTCTGTTAATAAATCAGTATTTGGTATTTTCAAGCACCCTAAGACAAATATTTTAAACTCGAGTCAATTTATCATGAACGCCAACATGCACAGTCACATATGACTAAACAAAGTAATCTGTCTGTGCATTAACAAGGATACAGTCCCGGCCTGGGAACAGGATTTTGTGGCGCACCATTTCTCCCATAATGCATCCCACCGACCAAATATCCACTGCACGCATAGAGGTGGAGGTGGAGCAAGAGATGTAGCAAATAGAAAAGAAAGGAAAGCAAAGGTTAGTTGAATCTATAGTGACAACGATTATTGGTAAAACAAAAAAAGTAAAAAGCATTTAGATATGAAGCTGGAGAAACAACAGAGACAAAAATGAAAGGACTGGCTGACTGCAGGAAACTCGAAGTGATGGTGCCCACGGGCTTTCGTTCTTGAGAGGACTCTGAGTAATGAATCATAACGAGGCCGGCGTCCAGTCACATGTTCTGTGGGCTTTGAATCAGTGACTCACTCTCCAACACGTTCAATTCAACCAGTCACTGATGAGGTTATGATTTAGCCTTTTTTTCTGATTGTTAATATCACTAACAACAATAATCATGTTAAAGAGACTCTTCCTGTCTCAGCTGCAGTTAAAATTTAACTCAGAAAAATAAAACTTCAAAAATCTTTACAGCATCACTATTAAAGGTCTCTCACCGTTCTCTTTGTATCCCATACCCAGGATGACCTCTGGGGCTCTGTAGTACCGTGTCACCACATACGGGGTCATCATGAAACTAGTGCCTGCGGTTCTGGCCAGGCCAAAGTCCAGGATCTTGAGGGTGCAGTCAGACTTCACTACTATATTGCTTGGTTTGAGATCCTGGAGGAAACGTCGACAGTGAACAGTTTCTCGTTAGCAGCCATTAAATGATTGATCATTGACATAAATAATATAAAAATGAGTGAGTTAGCCCTAAAAGTCAACCATTAGTTATATTAATTACAGCTATGAGGACACAAAAATAACCAAAAAATGCAGCCAAATTATTGGACATTTCATGGATTGAAATTTAAAGTTCATTGCAGTTTAAATGTCTCTGTTACTGACATCATTAATGTAAAAGAGGCTTCACGCTAAATCACATATATATATATATATATATATATATATATATATATATATATATATATATATATATATAAAGGTTTACCTCATCATGTGTTCCACTCTGACAGATTTGTGCAAAACTATTGTTTATTAAACATGCTGTAAAATCAGAAATCTTACAAACACATTTAAAATGCTCTATATTTGTTTCTATTTAGCCGGCAGTGTTTCATTCAGATACATATTTGATTAAGTTGTTTTTTTTAAACCTTTTTAAAACAAATAACATTTTCTTCAATTTGTCAAAAGTCATTTTCCATTTTTAATCCGGTTCAAGCAACATTTTAATCCTTCAAAAATAAATAAAATCTTAAAGCTGTACTCTTGACATAATTTTCTTTTAATGAAACAATAAAAGATAACACGTCGTCAGATTTATTAAATATTTTGAACCTAAATGCACTTTAACCTTAAGATTCCTGACATCGAAATGTGTTGAAGCCAGCTGGATACTACACAAATTTGAACATATGCAAAAAAAAATACAAAAAAAAATTTGCAGCATTTATAAATACATTTAATATAAATAATCAGATGGTAAAGATTTATGATAAATGGAGAACTGGATTGTTTATTTAGGATATGTGGTGCTTCAGTTGAGCAGCCAAAAAAAGTCACTTTAGTGACAATTAAGCCAATACAGCACTCTATCATATTTACATGTCCTGCTTAATTATTAGTTTCATTTGCACAAAAAAAAGTGACGTCTAACTGTCTTTGATGCCAAAACAGCCACCAGGATTATTCCAAGTGTTACAGAATAGCTCAAATCTGTAGCGGTTATAAGGCAAAGACTCAGCAGGTGAACATGCAGAGTGTGCTGCCTTGCTTTCCTACCCTGTGAATTATGCCGGCTGAGTGCAGATGTTTGATACCACACAACATCTGGTAGAGCAGGTAGGACATTCGCTCGTGGTCCAGCTCCATCTGAATCACCTGGCATAAGTTGGCGTCCATAAGCTCCATCACCAGGTACCTGAGTAAAAGGATGGTTGTTTTAATGCGTGAGCGGTTGGCCGACCTGTCAGATGTGTGACTGTTGTGTTGTTTAGCATTTAGCTGTCAAGAACTGCAGCAACATTTTCTACGTGGGAAAAAAAAAATGGAAAAGCTCCACCAAGAAGGTGAATCTCTCAGTGGTGAGATTGTTCTAAAAGTGAACACGCTCTCATTTATCATTCAGTATGAGAATATGATCCCTTCAGCCGTTTCACATTTCACCTGGGAGACTTTCACTGTCTGTACTTCAACGGGCATGAGCTCACAAACGCATAGGAGTTAAAGACACACAATGTGCTATAGAAGCAGTCCTTTTTCAGGTATATAACATAGAAATGAAATAAAAACAGGAGATGAATTAAAGGCTTGGCGTTCCTTGAAAGGATTCATATCGCTTGATGCTTTTCATGCCAAGCTAAAAACGTCTTGGGCTGAGAAAGAACAAAGTTAGAACTGTTCTGATCAAACCTTACAGCTGATGTTCTGCATGATCACACGCAACATGGTAAGACTTTCCAAGCTGTGCACTTAGAGAACACGTTGGAGTCTCTCAGCTACTTGTGTCAATTTTATGGCTCGGTATTTGCAAAACTGACTGAATTGCATTAATTTTTGTGTTACCTAAGGTCAGCTGGCTGTGACGGCCATCTGAAAATGGGTTGACACCTAAAGTTCATTGCAAAGTTTTCAGAACAGATCTTTTGTTACCATTTAGTTCTTGGAGTTTGTTCTGGGAATGACTTTCAGCTGCTAACACACAAAACTTCAGCTCAGTGTATGTAAAACTGGCTGTTATAGATATATTTTTGTGTTTGCTCAAGTTGATTTGCTAAGGCAGCATTTTGAGGTAATGGTTCTCTAGATATTTTGCTAACATTACAGACAAACAAACACATTATTGCACACACTTCATATTATCCACACACCTCAAAACTTTACGAAATCGATACTTACACATCCTGAAATTCCTCTAATGATTTCTGTGGCGTGAAGACATTTAATAAACTGATTATCTGAAAGACAGAAGAGGAAGAAGAGGGTGAAACACAACTGTTACTCAGTGAAACGATGGTCGGTGAATGTGGAATAAAGTAGGTGCAAGTTGACCCTGATGAAGGAAGCTAGTGAGTGAAGCAGTGAACTGAAGAAGTGAGGTGGAACAAAAGAGAGGGGATAAATGTAGGCGAGTGGAGGCGGGAGGAGAAGAAGAGCTCAGACTGTGACAGTGATGATAACACTCATCCCTCCAAATGTTCTCTGCTTCACTTCGATACACGTCTGGAGGCAGGGAATTTAGCACGGCCACAACATTGCAGAGGCTGGTCTACGTTGAGCTGCCGAGGGGATTTATTTTGAGCCAGAAATAGACTCTCGGGCCGCGGTTTGATTTTAAAACTGCTTTATCAAGATGGGAGACACACTTTTCTTTCTTTTTGTTTATCATCTATCAAGAGGAACTTACATTTTTGTGATTGACACATTTCATGAGCACCAACTCCCGGTAAGCCCTCTTGGCGTGGGTCTGGTTCTGGAAGGGTCTGCTCAGCTTCTTAATGGCTACATTTCTGTCCAGGACAGCATCATAGCCCGCACTGCAGAGAGTGGGGTGGGGGTGGGTGGGGGGAGTGGAGAGACACACACAATCATCAGAGTTCTGTTAGCATTCACAGCTGGATGTGTGCATGTGTGTGTGTGTGTGTGTGTGTGTGTGTGTGTGTGTGTGTGTGTGTCCTTGTTTATGCTACTTTGTGAGGCCCATTTTTCCAACTTATACTACATTGTGGGGACCAACTGCTCCTTATGGGGCCCAAAGCCCGGGCCCCATAAGAAGAAGTCCCGTTGGTGGGTTAGGGGCTAGGTTTAGGACTAAGGTGTGAATTGAGGATGTGTTAGGTTTAGGGTTAGGTATGTACTGGTAATGGTTAGGTTATGGATACAGGTCATGGTTAGGCTATAGAAATGAATGAAAAATGAATGGAAGTCAATGCAAAGGCCCCACAAAGATAGCAAAACAAACCTGTGTGTGTGTGTGTGGGGGGGGGGGGG